GAAAAGGATCTCGATCAAGATCAAGCCTGAGAAAGTTTTTAAAGGACAGATATAAGTCCAGAAGGAAAAAAGACGTCTACTAGCACCTGACCTTCCCAGATCCCGAAAAGGATCTCGATCAGGATCAAGCCTGAGAAAGTTTTTAAAGGACAGATATACATGTACGTCCAGAAGGAAAAAGACGTCTACTAGCACCTGACCTTCCCAGATCCCGAAAAGGATCTCGATCTCGATCAAGATCACTTCCCAGATCCCCAAAAGGATCTGGATCGCGATCTAGATCAATTCCCAGATCCCGATCAAGATCAGGTCTGAGAAAGTTTTTTAATGGACAGATATACGTCTATCAGTGTTAAACGAGATTTTTTTAATAAACGTTATTTTATTGGTGGGTAACTTTTTTTTTGTTGGTCTATCTGTTTCAGAGGATTTTCTCCAGTTTAACAGAGTTCTGGAAACCTTTTTCTTACCGATGTTTCTGGGGATTTTCTCCAGTTTAACAGAGTCCTGGTAAACTTATTCTTACCGATGTTTCAGGGGATTTTCTCCAGTTTAACAGAGTCCTGGTAACCTTATTCTTACCGATGTTTCAGGGGATTTTCTCCATTTTAACAGAGTCCTGGAAACCTTATTCTTACCGATGATAAAGAAATAAATAACTGGATATGCTCTGATTCACTTAAGCTTATTCAGGATAATTTATCGTTCTACTTACACTTGGACAACAGTTACGTTTTTTAGTTGTACAAGTTAAGTTGTACGTATTCTATCAATATCTTGTGTAGGATAACCTCATAAAATATACCTCAAGACAGTCTTTTTTTTTTTTACAGGTGCTGAAACTAATTTGTTGCCTATGTGGTGATATCTATAATATTTAGGTGATATGGATTTTTAAGTATTGAACACCAACGGTATGGAAGCTAACCTTGGAATTAAGATTAACATTTATTTAACATAAGTCCACATTAAAAATAAAGTTGATATTGAAACATTTTTTATTCATACATGAAACAACACACCTAAATCTCAAATACACTGCTACCAGATCTAAATAAGGCAGATCTCAAGACAATGAAAACATGTTTTGATAAATTATTTGATTTTCTCCATTTCTTTCGCGAATCTGTTTTATAAACACATTGTACAAACATTCGTATCAAAAGGTTTGTTTGTTTGTAATTATGCACAATGGGCTATCTGTGCTCTACCCACCACGGGTATCGAAACCCGGTTTCTAGCGTTGTAAGTCCGCAGACATAGCTTTGTGCTTAATTACATACAAACGTCTTGCCGGAAGAAGAAGTACCGAACATTATAGAGTGCGTTGGCAGTTCCGTTGCTAAAATCATGTTGGTAATTATAAATCAAAAAACTGATAAAAACTTTTAAATAAAGCTTTCGGAAATTCAGGGATAGAATTATACGTGTGGCCCTTTCGAGAGTACTCCCTCGTGCGAGAATGAATTACTTAACAGTTTTCAAGGGTTTAAGAAAATATTTTTCAGAGATATTCTTATATTATCAGTAAGTTTGTTTGGACCTGTGGGTCAGTTTTCAGAATAAGACTGAACTAAATTATAGAGATAGTCTGTAAGGCGTTTGTGAAAACTGTAAATAATTTATTAAAAAGTAGTTATAACTATATTTGCATTATTGCTATAGACTTTAGGAAACAGTACACATATTGGAGATTGCAAAAGAAGATGTAGAACATAACAAGTTTAATAAGTTTTCAAAATAAGTCTGTTAGGCTTAAAGATAAAAAAAGAACAGTGGTTTCGAGAATAGGCTTAGTTGCCAATATTAGGTGAAGGAACAGTTTGTTTGTTTGTAGTTATGCACAAAGCTACACAATGTGCTCTGCCCAGTACGGGTATCGAAACCCGGTTTCTAAGGTTGTAAGTCCGCAAACATACCGCTGTGCCACTGGGGGGGGGGTGTGTGTGAAGGAATTGCTGAAATTTAGTTAGGCTTAGAGAACATCGATGATAGGAATTATGTTGAAATTCAGATTTACTTAATACTGATAAAACTTTAAAAAGACGACGCGAAGAACTTCACAACGAGCTCAAGCATATGAATATTGTAGACCTGAAACATAAAATTTATCAGAAATTATATAATGAGATCAGGGCTGTTAATAATGTGAATAACCGTATAATAATCAGTGTACACTTCAATATAAAAAAGTAGTCACATTAATTGGGATTATATAAATTGAAGTGGTGGGAACGAGAAGTTTCACTAGGTGACTCAGCATATTTTTGTTATTCTTTCTGTACTAAGTGGTTAAGACGCTAACCAGAAATTTCTGGAAAACTGATCATTGTATAATTAAATTTAATGTTTTCCTGTATGGTGGGATCGAGAAAATTACTATTTTAATTCTTATTTTTGAAGTCCACGAGGCAAAATTTATCATTAGTGAACTTGAATAATGAGTTAAAATGCGATATGAGACAGATTTAACAAAGAATTATTTTAAAATAAATTACTTTTAAATCAAGATTGACATGTTACATAAAGAAGAAATACTATAAATTTAAACTGTCACTTAGGATAGATTATTTAAATAGCTGTATAAAAGCTAGAGATCTGGTTAAAAACGAAATGAAAAGCTAATCGCATAGATTTTTGAAGTTTGTTTTGAATTTTGCGCAAAGCTACACGAGGGCTATCTGCGCTAGCCGTCCCTACTTTAGGGGTGAAAGACTAGAGAGAAGGCAGCTAGTCATTACCACCCACCCCCAATTCTTGGGATACTTTTTTACTAACGAATAGCGGGATTGACCGTCACATTATAACGCCTCCACGGCTGAA